CTCCTTCAGCCTGGCCCCCAGAGCCTCGAAGTCCCTCATAATCCCTTTGATACAAGCTCATCTGCCTGCCTGGAGACAACAGAGACACTGGGAACCAGGAAACCCCAAAGCACTTGTACATATGATGATGGATTTCCAAAAGAGCAATAATTATCTCAGGAAGCCCACAAACATAGCAAGTCTGTGGAGAAGGTCCAAGATCAGTCACTACAACTAATGTGTTCAGTAGGGAGTTGGGGAAAGTTATTCAGTCTTCTGAATTTTCCCTTGTACCCATACAGCCACATTGCTGTTGAGGTGCTGATAGAATAAAGCCTGTAAGATTCTGACCTTCTGCCCTATGAGAACCCAGTTAGGAACGGTGGCTGGTTGGAAAGAAGAAGAGGGTAACCTCACTGCATTCCTGGTCAACTGGGAAGTGAAATGATGCATGCAGAGGGGAGGCTAGAGGCTGTAAGCTCTTCGGCACCAAGACCATTTCAGTTATGTATGGTTGTACAGTGCTTAGCACAATGGATTCTCTAGGTCAGGGGTGTCCAACCTTTTTGAATGTGGGGCCGGATCACGAACTTTTTATCACCCAGTGGGCCGGCAAGCCATATTCAAAGATGAGCACGGAGCAGGCACCTTGGGCCAGATAAAATGGCTTTGCAGGCCACATGGTGGCCCATGGGCCATATGTTGGACAAGCCTGTTCTAGGTGCTACCATGGTCCAAATAATAAAACAATAATTTCCATAGACTCCAGAAAGTCAGTTTCTTTTACCTGGAGACAATCTGTCATCATTAATTGACATCATTTAATCTGGATTTTAAGTGAAAAAATTAAATGCAGTTTAAAGCTTCAAAAATGTCTGGTAATATCCAAATGGGCCCATTCACAGTGAGTCTTCATTTGCTTTTTTTAGCAGCTCAATCAGAGCAGAAGGCATAACCTTGTTACCTGCTCCCAAACCTGCCAAACAAACTCAAAACACCGTTTTTATCATGCAGTGATTTGAAGCGTCCAGAGTTTAAAATAATTCTAAACTGAACATCCAAGGCTTGGTCAAGAAATAGGTATCTGATTTCTGCTCCATGCACAGTGAAAGCAGAAATCCCAAACTGTCTGGATGTGAAGGAATGCTCTCAAAACCTTCTGGAGTGTAGGGTTGAGGTGTAAGTAGATGCAACGTAAGGGTATTTCCAGGCACTGCTGAAAGCATTACCAAGGATCACATCCATAGCCTATGTGCCCACACTGCACATGCTCCAAACCCAGAAATAAGACAGCAAAGCGGTCCTGGGAATACTTTTCACCACCATTCTCAAGATCCCCATCTCCATTGCACCTGAGAAAGGTAGGGGGAGCCAAGTCCAAGTGGGCTTCATCACCTCATTTCTGGCTTGGTTCATACAGAGCAAAAGGAAGTAGACAGGATGTAGTAGTCTCATGAGCACCATGGAAACAAGATAGTCATACCTAAAACTGTTTACACCAGGTTTGGATGTGACCTCAGGTCCAGTATTTTCATGGGACCTTCAAAACCTACACTTCTTCCTCTTCCCCTTGTCCTAGAATTGGCTTTCACTAAGAACCCTTATTGCCAGATCCACACTCACATTAGCTGATGATGAGATTTCCACTGCACACAGGAGATACTTTGGCAGTGCAATCACTGCTGCTCAGATTGAAATGTTGGTCAAACCAAAACCAAAAACAAACCAACACTTGAGTCCTTGTAGATGGCATTAGAAACATGAAGAGATGCAGGATTGGGAAAAATCAAGATGAGTAAAACAGAAAAATAAAACTGGGAAGGGAAGCAAAGTTGTGTTTACCTTTGGAAGAAAGTTTTACAAACAATAAAGAGTATTTAAAAAAGCAGCAGCACTTTAAGAAATTATTTGAAAAGGATTTTAAATACTTCGAGCCAAATTTGTCTCTCTTACACATATGCAACCCAATTAAAGATGGAAGTAGGAACACTGAGTATAAATGTGACATTCTAAAATATAAAGACAAATCAGATGTAAATACTTATATCTGATGTCATCTTATGCTGTTACTGATGTTATCTTAATGATTACTTTGATTCCTGCATTTTCAGGACATTTTGCTAATGGAAATGCACTTGTGCTCTGGGAGACCAGGTGCCACATTTCTATCCTGAATGATTTTATTTTTGCAGTGGAAAACAGGGGTGTGCACAGAAATGCAGACACACCTTTAATTATAATGTTGCAATATCTCTTTCTGGGATGCCTTGGCTCTTTTGCCAGTACCACTGTCATTGAGCCAATGTGGGACAAACAGATCAGATTCACACATTCTTTCCGCATTAATATAATTTGTGCATGGGCACAGGCACATATACCCACAACCATAGGTAACATGTAAATTCTGACAGTGGGGGAGCACAACTCTGCACCACTGCCGCTGCAGCTGCCACCACCACCTCTGCCCCGACTGTAGCTGGGCCTTGGGTCTAGCCAGGCTGCAGCCCTGCTATTGGCGTAGAAACTGTGCTGCCGCTGCCACCGCCATTGCCGTCTCCGCTGCTGCTGGGCCCTGGCTCTGGCCAGGCTGCAGCCCCATGCCCCACTGCTGGCACAGAAATCTGGGGGACTTGTCCCCAAACTCCATATATTTCTGATGCATTGCTTATGCCCAGAGCCCACACAGACCATACAAAGTAGTCCTTCAAGAAGGGTGGAGGACTAGAGAAAAAAAACTTCTCTCTGTGTCTGAAAATATGCTATTAAGGGCTCACCATCCTGACAGATGAATTGCTTCATGATAGATTTGGAATACACTATGGGCACATCTACATGAGATGCTAAAAGCGCAATAGACTAATTCTGCTGCACATTAGCACGTTACAGCAAAAGCCATGCTAATGAACCAATGTGCAGTAGAATTAATCTACAGCATATTAGTGTCACCGAAAAGACATGCACCAGTGCTACTGCACAGCAGCACCAATTATAGTGCATTAAGTTGGTACCTGTTATTACAGGTAAAAAAACTTCACGCATCATAATTACAGGACATCAGTGCATGTGTAGACATGCCCAGTATGTTTCAAACTAGGTCATATAGCTTCTTTTGTGCCTTCAGGAATCGTCCTTCTGACATGGTAGTAGATATGTCTGAAGCAAGTAATTTTTCTGGATTGCTCTCAAACACAGTGAAAACTATCTCCTTTTGCTGAGCTTTAGCTTATTAACTATGTTATGATGAACTAGCTCAAACCTCCTCCCCAGGCTTAGCTGCTCCACTGGTTCCTTGCTCTAGACAGCACAGCACATAACCTTGATCCTGTGTCTCTAAAAAGCCTCTCCCATTTCCCTACTGTTCAGGTGGACTAACAAGTCAAATATTAGGGTTCTGCGAAGCTTTGGGTGATGATTCGATTCGGAGGAAATTCAGCCCGATTCGGTGGCCAAATCTCCAAATCTGAATCAAATCAGGGGACCAGATTAAAGGTCCAAATCAATTCAAAGCTCTCCGAATCTTCAGCCGATTCGGAGAGCTTTGATGATTCGGGCAGTCCCCGGTGGCTGCAGCAGGGAGCTGCAGCCACTCCTAGCTGGTAAATACTAGGGGCGAGGGAGGGGGGCCTGGAGGAAGGGGGAGGGGACCCTGGGGGGAC